AATTATAAGAGTTAAATTTATTAATAAATAAATATTACTGTTAAATTCAGAGTTTAAATTTTAAAATAATATTTAAAAAAATGAATTTGTTTAAATATGCTAATATAATGTAAGGATGGATTCTTTAAAATTGTTCTGGGAGAAACCATGAGAGATGTACAAAAATTAATCCGAAGAACATCTCACGAGATGACGTAATAGTGTTCAAAATGTGCATCGAAAGCTCCACATGAACTAGAGAAATTCAGATATTGCCTGCAATCTACTTACGTAACATATTCCGTTTTCCATCAAAGAATTTGAAATAGAAAGACATTGCCTGCAATCTACTTATGTAACATACGCACGGTCCCCCAAGGACAAGTATGGGGCAGTCTCTTCTTTCTATCTCTCTCCTCATTGTGTTTTACGTACCGATATACGTATTAATTTTATTATTGAAACGAAACATATTAAATATTAAAATTTTTCACATATTGTTTTAAATTTATCGTTATAAATATATTTTTTTTAAACTAAATATTAAAATTTAAAATAAAATAAAATATGTTAATATTTAAAATTATTATATTCTTATAAATTAAAAACAAATTTAAAATAATTATTTTTAATCCTTCCACTTTTAATATAAGCATATTTTTCATTCATCTATTTTAAATTAAGGAATTAAAAAAGTACGTATTTAGATAAACTTAACGGAGTAATTGATAAAAGAACTAAAAAATTATGAAAAATATACTAAAAAAGTACATAAAAAGTTAAAAGATGAAAATTATGTAAAATATTAAAATTGAAGACAAAAATGAAATTTAAATTTTTTAAATTTGAATTGAATTGTACCGGATGAGTAATTGTACCAAAAATGAAAGAATATTAAGGACAGCTGGACGCAAGAACAAAAGAGAGATTTGGGCGATTTGAAATTGTAAAATAAGACGTTGCCTTAGCCAAAACGACGTCATTTTGGCTAGGGAATTTTTTTTTTTTTTAATTTGTGCATAATGTACCAGTTAAATTTTAATGTACCTGTAAGTACACGAAATTTTGGTCGATACATCAAAATTTGATCAAAATTATCGAATTTTAACCAAAACAAAATAAATTCATCTCAATTCATTCAAAAATCGATATGTACCAACCGATATGAAATGATACAAACTTCCTTGATCTTACGTCACAGTTGAGGCTGATGTAGGAAAATTGGCGCCGTTGGGGGCATTGAGCTCAAAGTAGTCAATACCGTACCGGTATGCGTATCGATTTTGTTACTAGAACGGTACGTACCAAATACCGAAATTTTTCACGTACCGTTTCGGATTTATCGCTATAAATATATATTTTTATAAATTAAATATCAAATTTTAAAATAAAATAAGAGATACTAATATTTAAAATTATTATATTCTTATAAATTAAAAATAAGTTT